GTTAAAAACAGTCATTTGTAAAATGATTGTTAATTTACATCTTTGTTTAATCAGAAAAAGATGTATTTTTTTAAAACAGAATATAGTTTTTAAAACGTAATTTACTTTTTTTTTTACAAATACTCTTTTTACTTTATCGTCTCAACAGTAAAAGCCTGACAAACGTCAGTCTGAGCGTCTTTAGATGAAACAAATTCACTGATTAAGTAAAATGAAAAAGAAAAACTATAAATATAAATTTTGTAGTACTACAAGTACTATTTTGATTTAATTTAAGGCAATATACTGTAGTATCAACCTCTAATATATGAAACTGTCCAGATGATACAACTATGTTTTTCAAAGTCTAATTTTAATTAGTGTTTCTGTTATTCTTGTGGTTACGTTTCTCTTCTTCAGAAACGAAGCTCAGTGAAATCTTTTCAACGACAGTCAAGTTGAATTTATATCTTGTCAGGTGCTGATGCCGGCTCTGTACATCCAGCTGACCGGACAAACAGGATGCTGTGGGAATCGTCTCGGGGTGAGTCCATCAGACGGACACAGCGTGTGTGTGTGTGTGTTTGAAGTTTGTGTAGAAAAAACACTTTAAAACTTTAAAACTCGACTGGATCTGAACTGTTCTCAGTGTCAGAATAGCAGAACCAAATAGAGGAACCACGCTGGTGGAAACTGCTGCATCACCACCTGGTGCCTGGTCATAGAACCACAGCATTTCTGCTTTCTTAGAAAAAAGTTTGAACTTCCTTAAATGGGTTTCAAACTTGACTTTCAGCGTAAATTCACCTTATTTCCCGAATTAAAATAAAAAAAATTTAGCTAAAATAAAATCTTTAAAAAAAACAACTACAGTCTATTTGGTCGGTGATCTTGCCTTACAGTAAGAAGGTCACCAGTTCAAGCCTTGTCTGTAGTTGTTTTGTTTTTTTACAAATACTGCAGTTTTATCACAGCCCAAAACACTAGCAGTATTTGGTTTATAGTTCACTATGAATGTGAATTCACCTTAGGTGTGAATGTGAGCGTGAATGCTTGTCTGCAACTGTCTGTAGAGGTATAGCTCCGCCTCCAGGCTGCTGTGATTGGCTCCAGCTCTGCTCAGAACCCAGAAATAGAGAAAAGTGGGAAAAGATGACGGAATGTTTGCTAATCACGGCCGTCAGAGGATTAGAATCTTTAATCTGACTTGACACCATTAATCATGATTATCTGAGATAAACAAACATTCCTGAATAGGACAAAAAGTTCTGCAACTGTGAGACCAATAACAGCCGCTAGAGGTCAGTGTTTATCTGTTTCTACCTGTGACTGATTATTAATATGGACAAACATCCAGAAAGTAATCTGCAAAAGGAAAACTTGAATCATTGAGCATTGGTTTGAAATGTTTCATTTATTTATTTCATCTGAAAACAAAAAAAATGTAACTCTACCTCCTGTCTGATTTTCACTTCCTGTTGAATATCTACAGATGTTAGTATCCATTATATTCGCCGGGGTGGGTGCAGTCGGCGCCGCCTACTGTTTCATTGTGGCACTGATTGGTCTGCATAACGGGCCGCTCTGCAACGATGGAGACAAATGGACGAGACCGTTCGCAGACAGGTAAGAGACGTGTCTGTGAGCCACGACGACTCACAGACACAACTCAGTTCTCATCAGACGTTCTGTCACAGGGACCCGAACTACATGACCAAGAGCAGCTGGTGGACCGAGTGCCTGGAACCCAAGAACGTGGTGCAGTTCAACATGGGTCTGTTCATCACCCTGATGGCGGCCAGCTGCCTGCAGGTGGTGCTCTGCGTCATCCAGGTCATCAACGGCCTGGTGGGCTGCCTGTGTGGGACCGGCAACGAGAAATAGGTAAGAGTTCTGCAGAAGAAGAAGAAAACAGTCTGTAGAGGTGTAGGAAAGTCTAGACCTGAGGATGGAGAAGAAGACACAAGAGTGGCTCTGATTGGCTGCTGAAAGTCACATGCAGCAGGTTAGGGGTCAGAGGAAGGAACGCTACTTTGACACAAAACTCTTTAACACTTGTCTTTTATTTGTCTTATTTCACAGAAAGTCTGTTTCCTGACGATCAAACCGTGGACCAGGATCCAGGGACTTGGCTTCTTTAAAAAAAAAAAATTGTTAGAAAAGTTTTAGAACTTGTTGTTTAGCCTCAGCCCTGTGGTGGATGGTCCCCCCCCCGACT